AAATGTGCCCGGGGCCCAACTGCCTGATCCCTGGGCCTCAGCATCTTTACCCACCTGGGGTTTGGGCCCTAGCGGTTGGTTGAAGATGTTGTGTGCATCAACTTCCCACGGGGCCCGTTTGTCAGCTCAGACAGGAAATGTGCCCGGAGCCTAACTGCCTGAGCCCTGGCCTCAGCATCTTTAAGCACCTGGGGGTTGGGCGCTATCGGCTGGTTGAAGATGCTGTGTGCAACAAGTTCGACTTTGGGAAAACGGCAGCTTACCTAGGTAGTCTCTCTCTCTCTCTCTCTCTCACACACACACACACACACACACACACACACACACACACACACACAATCAGTTTTACGTCTGTCAGTCTTTCTTCTGTTGTCTGTCCTCCCCCTGATTTTTCCTAAGTTTTTTTTGTGTGCCCGACTGAGCACCCTTAAGTAGTGCCAAACGGTCGGTGGTTCCTCGTTTGGAGTGCCTACTGCACTCTTATGGGGGCTGCTCGGTTCGGGATGTCTGTGTTGCCTGTCGGTGATGACGGATGTTCGTCGGAGTGACTCCCTGTCTCAGTGGGTGGTGGGAATCAACAGTCTGTGGGGTTCAATCGTGATGTGAGAAGGTCATCTGCTGCTTTGCTCCGTGTTGGATGTGTGGACGCCCTCGTCTGCACTCCGCCGCTGCCCTGCTGCCTGTCCTGCTTGCTTCGCATGTGGTTCTTTGCAGGTTGATGTGTTCGCTGTGCGGTGTGGCCGTGTTGTTGGTGTTGCCTTGCGCTTCGCTGCTCCGCTGCAGTGCTGCTCATTGGCTGGCCGTGCCTTCCGTGCTTACCGCTTGTGTGCCCTGTAGGTTGGTTGCCTTGTTGCTGGTGCCTTGTGCTTCGCGCCACGGTTGCCGACCTGCTGGTCCGCTCGCCCTGCCGTTCCCTGCAGTGTTGTTGCCTTGTTTGTGTTGTCTTGTGCTTCACTACAGGGTTGCCGAGCTGCATGCCCTGCGTGCCATGTCGTTCGTTGCAGTCGTTTTTGGCGTTGTGCAGCCGTGTTGCTCTACTGTGTTGCCTGGTACTCCACAGGGTTGCTGCCCACTGCTATGTGCCGCTTGGGGACAGTCTGCCTTCAACAAGGGTCAAAGGTTTCATGACCCAAATCATCAAATATGGAGATTCTGCAGATTGTCGAGGGTTCAGCCTCCTGATGAGTCGGTGCAAGTCCGACGAAACAATCTTTCATGTTTTGTTTTTTTTTTCGTTTTTTTTTTTTGCTGTTTGTTCTTTTGTCTGTCTTGTTGCCGGGCTGCTTCTCGACTCTTGCCTTGTTTTACTTGCCTTACTGCTGGTCAGTTTGGTTTTTGTTTCTTTTTTTTTTCGTTCCCTGGCTTTTGAAAGCTGGGCATTATAAGCATTCTTTTCTATGGGCATCCCCGTCTGTGGGCTCTTTCCCGATGTTGTTTATAAGCACACTCTCTGACACAACATGCTGTGACGCGGTCGCAGTGCAGTAACGCTGTTCAGAAGTAGCCTGGGGCCCAGAACTCAGCCCCAGGCAACGCAGACCTGAGTTGGTCTGCGCTGGGCTGTGTGACCAAGACATGCCCAGGTCTGAGACTGTCGTTTGGCTGTGTGACCGAATGCTGCACACAGGAAATTCAAAGGTCAAAAGTCAACTGTAGAGTCAAAGGTACCGCACCCAGGCCCTTGGTTGGATACACTCACTTGTTGTGCGCAGGTACCCAGACAAGCATCCAGRCCGGAGGGAAWTCRGTTTCAGACCAATCTGGGCCTTAGTTTGCATCGAGATCTGGACGGCTGAGGGTGGTAGCATCCGGGGCCCAGACCCCGAGTCAACGCTACATAAGTGCTGACTTTCCTGGCTTTGACATTCATTCAGTCTTGCGTCAATGCTGACTTCACGTGTTGACGGCGCGACGCTGGTGGACGCTGGCTTTGTGCTGGCACTCGTGGAATTACGGCGACGCGCTGCTGGCTCGCCATGGTGGCTGGCTGGCTATTGTCTTCAAGGCATGCTGACGTGGCCGCTGCCACGTGTTCTATCTTCTGATTGGCCAGGTCTACGTGACCGGCACTGCTGTTCTGATTCATCGTCGCTTGGGAGGAGATCATGACTGTGGGATGATTGTGGACACGTACCTGGTTATCTTGAGGTCGACACTGCTCCAGTACGCTGATGAGGGTCTGGTCGACGTGCCACGTGGCACAGTGTAGTAGAACTTCGGATATGCGCTCAGACTATTGATTATTTGAGGTGGTGATCGAGGAGGGAGCCCGAAGCAGGAGTGGGCC